TTTTCTATAAATATGAGCTACCGTAAAGAGAATTGAGATGTCCCTTGAGACGAAGAAAAATAGGATAGAGAAGAGAGAAAAAAGAGAGAGATTAGAGAGACTCTTTTGAGAGTTTTTTTTTTAGAGTTTGTAAACTCCATTGTAAATTCTATTCAAGTAGAAATAGAATTATTTTTCCTCTTTTATTTTCTCTTCACGTGATCGGAGAATCACAACAAGTGGTATCAGAGCTTGGTTCATCAATTAACCCTCATAGTTTTGATAAAGCTTTTGCAAGTCAAGACGTCAATGGAGGAATCTTTATCAGGAGCTATGATCAAACTCACTGCCACCAATTACACACTGTGGAGGCCTCGGATGGAAGACCTCCTTAGTTGTAAGGATTTGTATGAGCCCTTGGAAGCCAAAGGTGAAAACCCCGATCCTACCAAAGAGGCGGAGTGGAAGAAGCTAAATAGATAAACTATCGGTCAAATTCGACAATGGATTGACCATAGTGTTTTTCACCATGTAGCACAGAAGACAGATGCATATGCTCTCTGGAAGATTTTGGAGGACATGTACCAAGCCAAGACCGCTCGAAACAAAGTCCTGTTGATGAGGTGTTTGGTGAATCTGAAGTTAAAGAGTGGAACTTCAGTTGTCAAGCACACCAGTGAATTTCAGAGCTTGGTAAACCAATTGTCATCTATGGAGATGCCGCTTGGGGATGAAATGCAAGCCTTACTACTTTTAAGTTCTCTTCCTGATAGTTGGGAGACATTAGTAGTATCTCTTAGCAATTCAGCCCCTGATGGCAAACTTACCATGTCTATGGTTAAGGATGCCCTATTTAATGAAGAGGCCAAAAGAAAAGATGTAGACACGGACCAATCACATGCCCTTGTCACAGTGAACCGGGGAAGACAACAAGGAGGCGTTCGAGGCAGGGGGAGAGGTAGAAGCAAAAGTAGGGGTAGATCTATAGATGGAAGGAAGCCTACTTATAAATACTACTATTGTGGTATGGAGGGCCACTTGAAGAAGAACTGCAGAAAATTGCTACAAGAGCAAGGCCACAACAGTTCGCAGTCGAAAAATAAGAAAGGAGAGACACTAGTCACTATTTCTGGAGAGGTGGCTATCTGCTCCATCCATGAGGAGACATGTCTTCATGTCTCAAACCAAGATATTGAGTGGGTAATAGACACTGCTGCATCTTATCACGCCACTTCACGCAAAGATTTCTTCACAACATACAAAGTCAGCGACTTTGGTGCAGTGAAGATGGGAAATACCAGTTCTTCTAAGATTATAGGAATTGGTGATATTAAGATACAAACGAACCTCAGGTGTAAAATAACCCTGAAGGACGTTCGACACGTACCTGATCTTCGGCTAAATCTACTTTCAGGGATAGCCCTTAACAAACAGAGCTATGTCAATCAATTTAGCAGTGGCACATGGAAAATGATGAAAGGTTCCATGGTTGTCGCTCGAGGACATATATGTGGCACTTTATACAAGACTCATATGAAAATGCATGCGGATAGCCTCAACGTAGTAGAACGTGAACCTTCTCAAAATTTGTGGCACCAAAGACTTGGTCACATGAGTGAGAAGGGATTGTCTACTTTGACAAAGAAGGAGCTAATCACGGTTGCCAAGGAAGCTACGCTGGATCCTTGCAGTCACTGTCTATTTGGTAAGCAACATAGAGTCTCCTTCAATTTCTCTTTTACGAGACGATCAGAGTTGCTCAATCTAGTACACTCTGATATTTGTGGTCCTTTGGAGGTTGAATCATTAGGCGGTAACAAGTATTTTTTAACATTCATTGATGACGCTTCTCGAAAGGCGTGGGCATATTTCTTGAAGATAAAGGACCAAGTATTGGATTACTTCAAATCATTTCATGCCATGGTAGAGCGTGAAATAGGAAAGAAGCTGAAATGTCTCCGCACAGATAATGGAGGTGAGTATACTTCCAAAGAGTTTGATGCCTATTGCAAGACATACGGCATTCGACATGAGAAGATGGTCCCACGTACTCCACAACATAATGGAGTCGCTGAGAGGATGAATCGGACAATCATGGAAAAGGTCAGAAGCATGATAAGTATGGCTAAGCTGCCAAAGCCATTTTGGGGAGAAGCTGTTAGAATCGCCTGCTACTTGATCAACAGATCACCATCTGTACCGTTGAATTTTGAAATTTCGGAGAAAGTATGGTCTGGTAAATATCCCTCCTACTCTCACCTGAGAGTATTTGGCTGTTTAGCCTTTGCACATGTATCCAAAGAGCTAAGACAAAAGCTAGATGCAAGGACCACTCCATGCATCTTTATAGGCTATGGAGATGAGGAATTTGGATACAGATTATGGGACCCAAAGACAAAGAAGGTCATCAGAAGCAGGGACGTAGTGTTCCATGAAAACCAAACATTAGAAGACATTGAAAATCCCACAATATCTCCTAATTCTAATTTTGGTGCCTAAAATATTGCTCCAAATCCAGCACAAACACAATTCACCATAGATAACGACGATGTGTATGAGGAAATGCCGGAAGCAGAACAGGAGGATGAAGAAGGGGATGTTGATCAGGGGGAGTCACAATCCTCTTCACCAGAAGTTGTTGGACCATCACATCATTCAGATGATGATGTAGCTCCTGAAATCAACGATCCACAGGTACGAAGATCTGAACGAAGACGGATTCCATCAATGAGATATCCTGAATCAGAGTACCTTTTGCTCACTAACGAAGGAGAGCCATAGAGCTTTCAGGAAGCACAAACTCATGTGGACAAAGACAAGTAGATACAAGCAATGCAGGATGAGATGGAGTCACTGCAGAAAAATCAAACATATGAGTTAGTTGAGCTTTCGAAGGGAAAGAAGACATTAAAGAATAAATGGGTTTTCAAGCTCAAGAAAGATAGCAGTGGAAAGGTGGTAAAACATAAAGCCTGTTTGGTAGTCAAAGGATTTCTTCAGAAGAAGGGAGTTGACTTTGACGAGATTTTTTCACCTGTTGTAAAAATGGCCTCAATTCGAGTTATCCTTGGATTAGTAGCCAATCTGAATCTAGAGCTTGAACAGATGGATGTTAAAACAGCATTTCTTCATGGTGATTTATATGAAGAAATTTATATGGAGCAGCCAGAAGGTTTTGAAGTTTCAGGGAAAGAAAACTTCGTTTGTAAGCTAAAGAAGAGTTTATATGGTCTTAAGCAAGCACCCAGGCAATGGTACAAAAAGTTTGACTCTTTCATGGTGAGTCAAGGCTATAAAAGAACAGCTGCAGATCAGTGCATTTATAGTCAACACTTTTCGGATGGCAATTTTGTTGCTCTTCTATTGTATGTAGACGACATGCTGATCGTCGGACAAGATGCAACAAAAATCAGGCAGCTGAAGAAGGAACTCTCCAAGTTCTTCGACATGAAGGACTTAGGCTCAGCTCAACAGATTTTGGGAATGCACAACTCGAGATAGGAAGAATAGAAGGTTGTGGCTATCCCAAGAGAAGTATGTTGAACGAGTGATCAAAAGATTCAACATGCATAATGCCAAACCTATCAACACTCCATTGGCCAACCACTTCAAGTTGAGCAAAAGTTCATGCCCCTCATCCAAGAAAGAGATAGAGGAAATGTCATTCATTCCTTATTCTTCAGCAGTTGGAAGCCTGATGTATGCCATGGTATGTACAAGGCCAGATATTACCCATGCAGTACGTATTGTGAGTCATTTTCTTTCTAATCCTGGAAAGGAACATTGGGAGGCAGTCAAGTGGATTCTCAGGTACCTCAGAGGTACATCAAAGATATGTCTGTGCTACGGGGGAGCTGATCCAATCTTGGAAGGTTATATAGATTCAGATATGGCGGGAGATCTTGACAGTAGAAAATCTATTTCAGGATTTCTCTACACTTTTGCAGGGGGAGCTGTTTCATGACAGTCAAGACTACAAAAGTGTGTTGCTTTATCTACAACAGAAGCAGAATATATTGTAGTGACGGAAGCAGGTAAAGAAATGTTGTGGTTAAAGAGATTTCTCCAAAAATTAGGGATCAAGCAGAAAGATTATAAAGTACATTGTGACAGCCAGAGTGCTCTTGACTTGAGTAAGAACTCAATGTAT